CATAAGATATCTTTTTTTTTTTTTATGTATGTATGTACTGCATGTACTGCATGTATATAGTATTTATATATATGGCTTCTTTTCATGAAACTATAAAAAAATGACAGATATCTTATGTTTTTTTGGGCTATAATTGTAATTTTCTTTATATTATAAATGAGTTTTAGTTTGAAGAGCAGTACCAACACTCCTCCTTCTATAAATGTCATGATAATAATCTTTATGTGCTGCATTAAGTCTGAGCATTGTTTATGTTTCTGTGGAAACTTTAGCATGCACATTGATCTGTTACAGTCTGGATGTACATTGTTTAAGGATATTTATTGAACAGACTTTTTTTTCTTCTTTTCACTTGGCTGCTTTTGCGTCGCTGTGTTAAATGAAAAGTAAATATGAAATCCCTCAAACAACAATTCAAACCCAAACGTTGACCATAAATACTGAGAACGTTCCTGACGTCGTGCGCTCCTCTCCTCTGTTCCAACAGTGCTCCAGCACATGTGCAGGAGGCTTCCAGCGTCGCGTTGTGGTGTGCCAGGACGAGAACGGTTACCCTGCCAGCAGCTGTGAGGATCGCAGCCGACCCAACGAGCAGCGATCCTGCGAATCAGGCCCGTGTCCTCAGTGGGTCTATGGAAACTGGGGCGAGGTGAGACAAACGTCTCCTCAGCTTGAATAATATGGTTTTAGTCATTCAGCAGAGAAGCTCACATCCTCTGTTTCACATATGTTCATTTCCATACCCCCCAAAAAAGACTTTTGCTCTGTCTCGACTGAGATAAACCTCCTTTATCTGCATATCTGTAACAAAACTTCTGTCTTCAGTGCACTAAGCCTTGTGGAGGAGGGATTAAGACGAGGCTGGTGGTGTGTCAGCGTCCAAACGGCGAGCGTTTCAGCGATCTGAGCTGCGAGATCCACGACAAGCCACCAGATCGAGAGCAGTGCAATACTCATCCGTGCTCCTCGAGCCCTCACTGGAGCACAGACCCATGGAGCTCGGTACGCTCATAAAAAAATACTCTTTAATTTTCAAGCTCCTGTAGTTTTTTACTCGCAGACAGTTTGAAAGGGGCATGATGACTGTGGTGCTTTTGTACTGGAGATATTACACTCTGGTTTCTTTGGCCTTACCTTCAGTCCCCGCCACTTCCTGCTCCCTCCCTGTTTCCTGCGACTGTGTCTTCAAGACATTTAGAAAGTTCACGTTTGTTGCACTTGAACAGCAAAGGTAAAATCCCTTGTGAATGTGCCAAAAAGAGTAAATCTTTGCAGCATTATAAGCATAACAGGATCTTATTCTTGTCAGAAAGAAACCTTTAATAGTGTTGTATTAGTAGAAAAAATACAATTAAATCAGGATCGCTGTCAAAGTTAGTTCTGTATAATTTTGTTTTTGAAATAATTTATTAAGCATTAGGATAAATATATATTTTTGTCTTTTTTTAATCTTGTGTATATATATATATATATATATATATATATATATATATAGTATAAACCTTTGAAAATGGTTTATTTTGGTGTCTTAGCTCTTTTTAATCCCACATTTAGCCAGTCACCGTTCATATGCAAACACTGCTGAACTGTTCTTGTATATCAGGAATATATATTGCAAAGCCTTGTTCTTTATAATCCAAAGAATGTCTCACATGGTTCAGATATGAGGCGCTGCACTACAGTATTTAATTATAAATGTTTAGCTGCAAGCATTAAAAGCAGTACTAGTACGCACTGTATGTGCATCCTTTCCTTTTATACACATCTTTAAAAACGGACTGGAGGATTTAGTTTGTCTTAAGGCACATGTGCTTTCTTTTAATTTTCTAATAATAAGAAATTGTATTTTAATTATGCACCAGTAAACCAGCAGAACCATCACCCCGCTAAATGACGACACGTAAACAGAAATGTAAAATCAGAAGAGAAAAACGTATAAAATAATGTATCTCAATCAGTTTGTGGTAATTAGTACTAACTAATTCAGTTTTAGGATGTTTTTCCCACGGCGTGGCCAAACCTGTGTTTGAAAGTTTGAGAGTTATCTGCCCTTAAAGGTGTTTGATTCGAGTGTTTTATATACTATCTTAGTTAACGTTTGCTCTGTACAGTATTAGGAGTTTCTAAATGTTATTTTGTGCTTTATGGTCAATAATACCTCACTTGAAACAAAATATGACTCAAGTAGCCATTAAACAACAACAGCCTTCACTTCAGCGGTGCTTTAAGGGAGATTAAATGTGTAAATCAAAGATTCAGCACATTCTTTTGTATTTCTTGTCAGTTTGCTGTTTGACACAGTCTCCTCTGTGATTTTATTTCTTTTTATGAGTACAGTGTGCACTGATTAGATACAAAGTGTATCACAGTTTTGTTCAAAGAATATGAAACTGTCATTGTTAGCTGAGTACAGTAAGAGAAAGGGCTGTTTCATGTTCTTAACATGTGATTCCTGTGCCCACAGGGGACGTTAATGGAGCTCTTATTCTGAGACAGCCTAATGTGTCTACCTCAGTTTTGCTTAGGATTACCCCCCATGCTGTGTCTTTCTCCTCCCGTGCACTGGAGGGATTTTTGCTTTTTAACATGAAGCAAGAGTTGTGCAGTTAATGGCCCTAAACACAGATCTGAGTTGTGCCTTTCTCCTTTGTGTTTGCTTTCCATTTGGAAAATGGTCCAGAATCTGTGGTTAGGGGTACCTGCAGCCCACCCAGCCGACTAGTCTGTACTGTCATCACACCTTATTTTAAGGGCCTGTTAACGCAGCAGTGAGCACACTTTTAGCCACAAATCATTTACTAATGAGAACATCTGCTTTTAGTGGCTCCTATGTGTGATTATAAGGCGGTGCAAAATCAAACTCAGGTTAAAATACTGAAAAGAGAACACGTTCTGTGGTTAGTTACGTTTCATTTTCAGCACTTTGATTGATTTGTGGTCGATCATTGGGTGCAAATAGCTGTGCCGCACGAGCAAACACAACAACAGGCTCTTGAAATAAGGCGTCTCCTCTGCACACCTGGCAGTGTTGGTCTGTTTCAAACACATTTCTGTATATTTATGTAATTACTTGTATTTATTGTTCATTCATCATATTGTTGTCAATATTTAATTTCTTTTATGGATTTGTTGGATTTCCAAAAAACGTTTATGATTAAAGTGAAGTAGAGGTACTATGAAAAGCGTTTTTTTTTTTTTTTCATTTTTACTTGAATAAAACATTTAAATGTTTTATCACGTTTAGTGATCAGACAGAGATCGTCAAAGCTCAAAAACAGGGGAAACTGCTTAAAACGTGCCAGCAACTTTAAAAATAAAAAATAAAAAAATCTCACTATGGTTATTAAAATGAACACTGAGGTTGTTTTTAAAGGAATAGTTCTGATATTTTGAAGTGGATTCATTTGGTAAGGTTATGAACATTTAGTCTTACCTGCTGCAGATAGCTCTTTGAATGACCTCATTTTATAAAAGTTCAATTTTGACAGAAGCACATCTGGCGCAGCCTCGAGCAGATTTGTCTGCAACAATGAAATTTTTCTGCCAGGATGACGATATAATGCAAACTTTCATTTGCATGAACCGATACAAAGGTTTTGAGACAACAGTTGTTTTCAGACGATGAAAACCCACCCTGGTGTGTGTGTGTATATATATATATATATATATATATATATATATATATATATATATATATATATATAAAGACTTTGTAAGACTTTGTCTGATGGGAGTTGTTTTAAAATGGTGCATGCTCAATAATACAGGTAGAAAAATCTAACAAAGTTAAGGCAGGTCCTCTGGTCAGAACTGAACTTTTTCTCTACACTGAGCATGTTCAAAGAGCTATCTATAACAGGTAAGATATTATGTTTAAACCTATCCATAGAAACCCAGTTAAAAAAAACTGAACAATTATTTAAGCTCTGTATTTTAATGTTTATTTGAAAATCATCAGTGAGCACATTCAACCTATATGCTAATGCCCCAAAAAATCAAATAATAGAAGGCAAACCTCTTGTGAAGCAGTGAGTTATTCATTTTCAACGAAAATGCACGAATCACTGAAGAGTGTTCTTGCCACTTTATGTGGTCTGCTGACCTCTTTCCAACAACTGTGCCACCAGTTCAAAGTTATTTCCATCAAGGTAGATCTCGGTCCTGTTCAGCAAACTTCCCGTTTCATTTACTGTGCTCAGTCATCTGTAACACCTCTGCTTTTTCTGGGATGCTCGGTGACGCAAACACGGCTTTGTACTTGCCGTCAGCCTGTGGCCCTTTCTCGCAGGCCTTTTTTATTCAGGTTTAACGTGTATCTGTCGCCCCTGTGGGGGCCGGTGATGGTGGTTCAAATACGGGGAGGCATCAGCCAGACAATGCAGTGGTGTGTTTGCAGGTCAAAGGTTGCGTTTGATGTGGGGAGGGTCTCTTTCCCTGATTTTTATCCTATCATCACATGCAGACTTCTGGGAAATTATCAGTGATCCTAAGTAATAACAAAACAAGGGTGTTCAAAGGGATTCCCACACATTGGTAAAAATGTAATGGGTGGGGTGGGAACCAAGCCTTACTTTACTGGATTAACACATTTATAAATATATATGTATATTGCTTCAAATTATATTAACTCATAATGTGTTTGAAGTAAGCAAAACATGGCTAAAATACTTTTAAAAGATATATAAGGTATGTATCTAAATTGATGAGTTTGTGTTGAGATCCAGAGAATTTGGAAGATTTTCCCTGAAGCAGCATTTCCACAAAAAATACAAACAAAAAACTAAATGAAAACAGAGGAATGACCCATTATTTAATGAGAACTTAAGTCTGCTGGTATGTCAGGACTGTACATGACCGGCTTTAGTTATTTAAAACTTTTCTGGAAAGACCAATTTCATTCTGGGTAGTTTCATCTAAACCAAATCAAAAAGCTCTGCTGTGTTTTTGTTCCAGCTGCCGACAATAAAAAAAAACGCATCATTTTCAACTGGTTGGAGTCATTTCTGCTCTGAGACTGACAACAGTAAATAACAGCAGTCATAATCTTCTCACATGAGATAATACTCTTTATACACTTCATCCCCCCTCAAAAAAAAAAAAAAAAAAAAAAAAAAGCCAAAGCAACACAGTCAGAAGCTTTTTTTAATTCAAATTGAAGCACAACATTTTCCAAAAAACATTAACACAACTCCCTCAGACAGCTGTTGTTAAATAAATCAACTTTCTGACATAAATTTGTAATCATAAAATCTAATGAATAAAAATTACACTGCTTCCCTCTTTCCATGAGCGCTCTTCCTCCTCCTCCTCCTCCTCCTCCTCCTTGAATGAGGTGAGAGGTCACGGCGTGTTCCTGTCCGGTACAGGCCCTGGCAGTCAGGACAGAACCACACGCTGGGCCTTGGACCCGTTCAACTCTGAGCCTGTCGCATCATATCCATCCCCACGTGCAGCGCCCCGTTTGATTATAGGAGCACAGTGGAGCCAGCTCTGCTCCCTCCTGTAATTGTGTGTGTGTGTGTGTGTGTGTGTGTGTGTGTGTGTGTGTGTGTGCCTGTCATAATGAGTTAGTCATTGTCTGTAACTCGGTGAACCGGGGATGAATGAAACTGCTACCGGGTGAGCAGGCAGCCATTGGTCAACCTGTTCATGACATTTCCTAAAACATTTTGATGCCTTTTCACATTTTTACTGATGCCATTATTTTTCCACTTTAGCCTCATACCTTAGAAGCAGTGGTGTAGTCGACGTGATACGTGGGTATACAGAAAAAAGCTAGAAAAGCTGAAGAATTTCAGTATACCCACTTAAAAGTGTCAAGCGATACATGACATATCATTAGACACGTGTCACTGATATGTTAAACAGCAGTTAAACACTTCCGTAACAATCTATCTGTATGCAGCACTTGTTTATTACATTTGCTTATCCAGCGATTTACTGTATAATTCTGTACTTAATACTTGAACATGTTTTGCTTTGATACTGTTGTATAAAATCTATAACATGCTTTTAATACGAAGCCAACTCTTGTACAAAGTTTGTTGTTCATTTATTCAAATATTAACATCAGGGAAATTTAGAAATGTTCAATATGCTTAAAAATCTAAATAAATTGATGAGTACATTGTACTAACTGGCGTACTTTGGTTTCTAAACACAGTATACCCAGTACAAGAATGTAGACTGCGCCACTGCTTAGAAGTCTGTTTCAAACTGGTTAAACACGTAGTGGTGCCACTTTTGATTTCCATCCAACGTTTTGTGCTGCAGTGTTCAGCGTCCTGTGGAAGAGGCGTCCGAACCCGCAAGGTGAGCTGCGTAGCCGAGTCCGGCCGTTCGATCCCGGAGGAAAACTGCCTCCAGCTGTCCCCCAAACCCAGCAAGCAGAAGCGCTGCAGAGGTGGGCGATGCCCCAAGTGGAAGACTGGCAGCTGGGGGGAGGTAAAACACTCTGAACGTGCCACACAACAGTTTTATAAATTTAGTTCTCACGCTGCCAGGCATGTCAGCTTTTTTTTTTTTTTTTTTACTGCTTTCCACACGTTAATGCTTACCAGCTTGCTGCCAAGCGTGTCCACATGTTTGGAACATGTGTGGCCCTGCCTGGCAGTGTTTATGCCTAACTCTTAACTGAGACAGGGCGTCTTTTAGGCAGCAAACAGAGAGGTGGAGGTGGTGCAGGCCGGTGTGGCAGACACATGAACAGCTGTCTGGATGTGCACCCCTGTCTTTGATCTCACGCCCAGCCGATGTAATCTACTCCTCTCGTCTGCATTTCCCCCTCTTCCTTTGGGCCTCACCTTTTCCTCTCTGTCACGTTTTATCTTGTGACTGCTTCTACAACGAGAACCACATGTTCACAAAACGCACCTGGCTTCTCGTTTCTTCTTCATCTTCTTTCCACTCCCTTTGCTTCTCTTTCTCCCCCTCTTCTTCCGTCCTCTTTCTCTGAATTCCCCCCACCGCTCCGATCGCAGAGACACAAATGCGCGCCATACGTCAAAGAGAGAAGAAATGTTTCTACTAAGAACAGCTGTGAAGCAGGGCGCATGCCAGGAGCAAAGGATGCTCCTCCCAACACTTTTAGGCAGCAGTAAAAACATGTAGGTATTCAGAACTATAAAACAAAGGATCAAGTATTTAATCTTAAATTCTTTTAAAATGTCTCCATGACTGAATCTACGTTAAAGTGACCTGCTGCACCGGTTTGTTGTAATCCGGTAAGATGAGTTCACGTTTCAGGTGAAGCATCAGTATCTGTAAAGAGACTAAAAGAAGTTTTAGTTTCATCATAAAACAGCTTCAGTTAGTGGCTGAACATGTGGTGGAAGCATGCAGACTTTAACATCAATTCACATTTCTGTAAAACATGATTTAATTCATGAATATGAACATATAAATTTAGGTTGAAATCATTAAAGGTGCTCATTGCAATGCCATGAAGGTCAGTTTAAAAAAATAAATAAAGGAAACAAACCCACCCATTATTTTCCTCATATGGAATCAAATGAATTTTTTTTCTAAGCAAAGTTTATGAACAGCTGCCAACTACAACATATTTACTTACAGAAACATCTGGACAATAATTGTGACGTCCAGGGAAGAGCCATTCGAGAACAAGCAGTCGACATATTTACTCTCAGATTTGTTGGTTGATGTAATAAATGTAGTGCTTTGTTGACACTGAGTGCATACCTGCATTTCAGACATGGATATCTATATATTAGGAAAATTGGTGTGAACTCTTTCAAACTGCATCACTTGACATAGTTCAGAATAACTTTTGTATGTTTGACTTTTCAAAAAGGATCTTTAACCTTTATAGAATCCATATAAAACCCAAGATATCCATTTTGTGTTTACAATGTAAAAAAACAGCAAAAGTTAAGGATTTAATTTACTGCTTTGTTGCTCATTGAGTTCATAGAAACTTCTGCACAAATAAATGAGGGAACACGAACCAAAGTTTAAAACTTATCATTAAACATAAAAACTCAATGTGAAGGCTAAAGTGGTGTGTTGTCGTTGATACATCAATACATGCAGCCACGTCCAGGTAAAACAATAAAAACTACACAAAGTAATAAAGTTTCACCTCTGCTCCGGACAGTGTTCGGCTTCATGTGGCGACGGCATCCAGCGGCGAGAGGTTTTCTGCCAAGTCGGTGACCGCCGGAGTTCTCAGGAGAGCGGCTGTTCCCAGCGTTCCCGACCGCCGTCCAGCCAGACTTGTCGGGTCGGAGACTGTCCCGCTCGGTACCGATGGAGGGAGGGCGACTGGCAGCCGGTGAGTGGAGGAGACAACTGAGAGGCAGAGGCAGTGCAGTGTGTAGTTCTGCTGCTCGACCATGAGTGAACGTGCTCTGCCATGTGAAGTGGCTTCTGCTCGTCAGGAGGCCAGAGAGAGGAGCAGAGGAGGGGAGGGAGAAGGGAGACGAGCCCCGTGGACAAACTCAGAGCATGTCCGTTTTTACCCTTTCTCTCTCAAGAAAGGACTCAAGCGCATTTAAATACAACTGTGTGGGATTTTTACATATAGTTCTGTGTAGACTATAACCTGCACATCTGTGCAGCATAACTCTTAAACATCCACCGTGATGGACTTTAAACCAAACCATGTTGGAAATGAAATGTTTTTTCTCTCACATGTGAAGTTTTAACTGGGCTTTAGCAGAAAATTGTCTGCCAGTTACATCACACTAGAGCAGTCCTCATCATATGTTGCCAGCAGGCCCAACACGGCCCATATGGGTTGAGGTTGCCAGATAGGAAATGACAAACTATTGTACTGTTGCTTTAAAACTATTGTGTTTGTATCCACGGAAAGGAAGCAGAACTAAGTGGCTAAAATACAACAAAGAACCAATAGAGCATTAAGAACAGAACAGCAAACAATAAGACAAATAGCTGACCTAAAAAAAAACATGAATGTGCTCTGAGAATGAGTTGGGGAGGATTCTAAGCTACTACCACAGTCAGTTTTAGTCTAATGTCGGTGAAATTGGTTGTTAGAGTCGATTTTTGTGGTGGTTAAGGTTGATTAGCTGTGCAGCCATCTTAAATTGGAGTGACTCCAAAATTTAGAGTTGTAAATGTACATCTAATGATTACTTTATTACTATTTCATAAATATTATGACATTTAAATACAAAAAAATATAATACAGAGAATATAATCAACACAAATGTTCACTGGGGTGTCACAGCTCCAGCTGCAAAATATCAAAATATCTTCATGGAGTATTGAAGGATCTCCTTTCAATAGTTCATGAAGATATTTTGCTAACAGAGTTGACTGTAATGGTTAATGACAAAGTTTGAAACACAGATCTTGTGTGATCCATTAGTGCTCAGCGTCTGAGTTGGGGATGACTCTCAGATACAAACAAACTAAAACTTAACTCATCTGTGAGTTCCATGTAAAGTTTTAAAACTTTTTAAAAGCGTTTTAAAATCTTTTAAAAACACAATTTTAATCCCTGTCTTTCATCACAGCCTGAGACCTGCTCTTCACTTCAGTTTTATTTTTGAATAACTTTACTGTTTTAACTGTGTTTTATTCATTTTATGTGTTTTAAATGTTCTTTATTTTAATGTACAGCACTTTGTTGCAGCTGCAGTTGTTTTACAGGCCTTTATAAATAAAGTTATTATTAATAGATATTATAAATCCCTCTAGTGGTTCGAGTTATTTTGCTAACAAATTGCCATTAATTTTGCAAGTAAACTGACATAGGCTTAAAATCAACATCATTAAATAAATTTGTCTAAATACATCATTTTAAATTCAATACAGCCTAATTAGGCCTAAATCTATCATTATTTGTTTGTTTGTATCTAGCCCCTTTAACCATCCACCTCTTTTTTCTTTTTTTTTATTTTTATTTTTGATAATTAGCTTTAACAGTATTTTTTTCCCAACATAGCTCTCCAGGTGAAAATATATATTTTTTAGTTTAATGTTAGAAAACAGAAATAACCGTTACTGATCATTATTAAATGCACACCCGTATTAAATAGTTTTTCTAAGTTCACATTCACTGTCTACTCTCTGGAGCTGCATTCTTGCTCAATAATCCTCATTTTAGTTTTTTTTTTTTTACACTGGAGGCTACACATCTTTGTTAGAAGAGGAAACTGCAGCAGGAGTTTCTTCTTTACTGTGTGCACTTGATGTTTAATCTGGGTCACCAAGCAGCATGAAGCACGTTTCTGAAGTGAGAGCCTAATTAGCCGAGAGGAGGGTGTGGAAGGCCCGGCCTTTGGGTCCCAATTATCTTCTGCAGGGGATTAAAACTGCTCAAGCAGCAAGAGTTAACAAACTTAGATGTTTTCTTAGATCAAATGCTTTGTCTATGAACACTGTCCTTTCCTTTTGCACACTTATTTTGTTCACTTGTATCATAACTGGATGTAAAAATGAAATATTTTTATCTGAGCAGCTGGAGCTGTGACACCTCAGTGAACATTGGTGTTTATTATATTCTCTGTATTATTATTGAGGGAGGCCGGTGGAACAGTGAGGCTACAAGGAGCAGAGGTCACAAAGGTGCAGGACTTCAAGAACTTGGGGTCCACTGTCCAGTATGATGGGGAGTGTGGTAAAGAGGTGAAAAAGAGAGTCCAGGCAGGATGGAGTGGATGGAGAAAAGTTTCAGGATTGATTTGTGACAAAAGGGTGTCAGCAAAGGTTAAAGAAAAAGTTTACAAGACAGTGGTGAGACCATCCATGATGTATGATCTGGAGACAGAGGCACTGACAAAAAGACAGGAGAAAGAACTGGAAGTGTCAGAAGTGAAGATGTTGAGGTTCTCCTTAGGAGTGACAAGGATGGATAAGATTAGGAATGAGATCATCAGAGGTACAGCACAGGTTGAACAACTGGGAGATGAAGTTAGAGACTGAGATGATTTGGACATGTCCAGAGGAGGGACAGTGGGTATACTGGTAGAAGGATGTTAGAAATGCAGCTGCCAGGAAAAACACAAAGAGGAGACATATGGATGCAGTTAGAGAGGACATGGAGGCAGTTGGAGGGAGGACAGAGTGAGATGGAGGAGGATGACTTGCTGTGAAGAAGGAAACCCGAAAGAAGAAGAAGAAGATATTATCTGTATTAAATTATATGTATTTAAATGTCATAGTATTTAATAAGGATGCACGATATTGGATTTTTGGCTGATATGCCAATATGTTAAAACTTATTTAGCCAATAACCAATACCAATATTTTTTTCTCCTAGACCTACTTTTCATTCAACCTTTATTTATACAGGTGCATCCCATTGAGCCTCAGGGGTTCGTTTACAAGAGAGACCTGGACCTAGACCTACTTTCAGAGACCACATAGCTTCCTCTGCTGTGGAATTAAAATACTACATTATTCTGCATGGTCTTTGTCAGCCTGGCCTGCTACCAAATGCAGATGCCAAAAAAGAGGGCTGAAAATTATGTAACACTTTATAAATATATAATATATATAAATAAAACAACACCTTTTATATCGGTGAGTTATTTTGATGGAATGGCCGTTGTCTGATATTTAACTTTGTCGCTAATATCGGCCGATACTGATGCCATGCAAATAATTTTGTGCATTCCTAGTATTTAACACACCTCAGCTAAGATAAAATATTACTGTAGCTCTATGATTTTCTATTAAATATTCAAGGTCAAGGGTCTTTATTGTCATTCGCATCACATGTGGTGCATGAGGTGAAATGAAATGGGGGGAGTGGTGGCGCAGAGGTTAGAGAGGTGGGCTTGTGATCCGAAGATCGCCGGTTCACGCCCCGGCCCCGACAACATCAAAATTGTGGGTGGGGTAGGTGAAACACCCACACTTGCCCCCACCCTCATTCGCCCCACTCTGGGCCCATGAGCAAGGCCCTTAACCCCCACCATGTGCTCCCTAAAACAGGTCTCTCTTGAAAATGAGTTCTCGTGGCTCAATGAGACTACCTGTATAAATAAAGGCTAAATGAAAAAAAATAAAATAAAATTGTGTACACAGGGTCCCAGTTACATCCAACAACAGCAAAAGTATAAATTGTTAAAAGAAAACAATAATAAAGATCTAAGATGTGAACTAAGAAATACGCTAAACACTTAACGGTGCAAAACAATACGCCAAAAAACAGCAGCACGAACATGAGTGTGTGTGAGCAGATGAGGACGAATGAATACAACAACATGAAATAATCAGCAGCCAGAGATCAGCAGCATGGATAATCAGCAGCACATATCAACAATCAAAGTGGTGTTACAGTGATTTTTTTCTGTCCCTGTAATAATCCTGATTAGGGATTCATGAGTCCAGCAGCTTCAGGGTAGAAGCTGTTCCTCAGTCCAGTGGCCCTGCACTCAATGCTCCTCAACCTTCTGCCTAGTATTGCAATCAACACTACATTTTGTTATCTCTTAGCAAATGTATGTGTACATGTTTAGCTTATAAAGCATGCAGTCTGCTCAAATATGTTGCCAGTAGCTGAATGGGTTAAAGTTAGTCTTACATGGACGGTATTATTTCCTAAAGTAGAGGGTTGTACTTAATGCCAGACTTTACGTGAGACACTTTGTTGGCTAGTTGTGCAAACATTTACGTTGTAGAAGCAAAGTCTCCTCAGAATGTGTGTTTGTTCTCAGCTCAGGTTTTTCATTTTATCTAAGATTCGTATTCCTCATTTTTTTTCACTGCTTTGACATTTTGTTACTTTTCTGGTGTGGTAAAAGTATTGAATAGTCTCTGCCTTCTTGCTGATCCAATGCTCTGATGATACTTTTACTGATGGAAGAAACTCATCTTTTTTCTACAAGCTGTGCAGCTTTGTTTTTTTAATGAAATGTGTCATATATCTCTGACTCCTATTGTTTTGTAGCTGAACGGTATCTGAGTTTCAGTCTCGTCTCTTCAACAGTGCAGTGAGTCGTGCGGATCGGGCCACCGAAGGCGAGCGTTGCATTGTGTGGATTACAACCAACAGGAGGTCCATGAAATGCACTGCATGAACCAGATCAGACCGCCAGACATGGAGAGCTGCAACACACACGCCTGCGAATTAATCTGGATTACCGGGGAGTGGACGGAGGTGAGCAGGCTCCCAACGTGAACACTGAAGTTGTTTCATGAATGTAAAGTGAAAGTCCTCTCTCCTCCAGTGCTCAGTCAGCTGTGGTCAAGGCTACCACCAGCGTCTCATCTCCTGCAGTGAGGTCCATGTGGAGAACGACAACTATGAGTACGGCCACCAGTCTTTGTCCGACTGTCCTGGAACCCCCCCAGAGAGATACATGCCCTGTAATCTGGGCCAGTGCCCACCGCCACAGGAGTGGAGGGCAGGAAACTGGGAACCGGTGAGTGAGTCTCTGCTCCTGAATACTTTCTAGTCGATTTCCAGTTGACTTTAAAGTTTTTGTTTTGGCGGAAGAGCTCATAATAGTTTTGTAAAATATATAAAATATGAATTGACTGGTTGACTGATAGGCAGCACGGTGGCGCAACTGGTAGAGCTGCTGCCTCTCAGCGAGAAGGTCCCTGGTTCAAACCCCGGTCCAGGGGCCTTTCTGGGTGGAGTTTGCATGTTCTCTCCGTGCATGCATGGGTTTTCTCCGGGTGCTCCGGTTTTCTCCCACAGACCAAAAACATGCATGTTAGGCTGATTGGTAACTCTAAATTGTCTCTAGGTGTGAGTGAGAGAGTGAATGGCTGTTTGTCTCGTTTGTCTCTATGTGGCCCTGTGATGGACTTGCGACCTGTCCAGGGTGTACCCCGCCCCTCGCACAGTGATTGCTGGACATGGGCACCAGCGACCCCCGTGACCCAAAATGGAATAAACGGGTAAAGATAATGGATGGATGGATGGTTGACTGATCTGCGATGGACTGCTAAATAAAAACAAGAACAAGAAATGAAAATAAAATGGTTTAAGTTCTAGTACAAAATTAATTCATGATTACAAAATCACAAAAAAGTGGCTTTTAGTTATGTAAACTTATAATGTATTACTTTGAAGTTAGCACCCTTTGCTGGACTAAACAAGCATTAGGTTTTATTTGAAGCTCTGGGTAAAGAATCGTTCATGCGCAATAATCCAGGAAGAAAATCCAACAAAGTTCAGTCAGGTCCTCTGGACGGTTTCTTTTTTTGTTGAGATGTTTCATCCTTCATCCAAAGGACTTCATCAGTCCAAGGAGCCACAACAACAAACTCAGTCCCACAAGCAGCACAGTCACAAAGTGGACCAACCAGTTTGTCTGTGATAAGATGGTTTCTGGGGCCCACCCTCTCCCACATCAACTCCTCTGAGGCAGCCACAGCCAAAGTGGTTCAAAACACCAAAGTTCATGCTCAATAATCCAGGTATACATTCAGCAATGTTCAATCGGATCATCTGGACGAGTTCACTGATAAATCTTTGTAAATATAGTAGAGTGCTGTGTGAATGGGTAAATGAGGGCACAGGTTGTGTTGTAAAGCACTCTGAGTATCTTGATAAGATAGAAAGGTGCTGTATAAGTACAGTCCATTTACCATTTAATTTACAAGCTTGAGATTTCAGGAACTAAAATAAACAAAGAAAATCTGCCCTTTATCTAGTTTTAATTACAGATAAATCCATCCTCAGGTCAATTATAGCACATGAAAAATCATTTGTCTGTTTGTTTACCAAAAATTATGCACTGTTAAAAGAAATTCAATCATCATAATTTTATAACCAAGAAGTTCATTGGTGACCTAATGTCAGACCTTGTAGCTGCTAAATGAGCCCAAGTTATAATATTTCCACCACCATGACGTTGATATAGTGTGTTTGTGCTTATTTATTTTTTATTTATAGCTGCCACTGTCCTCCACTTCTGAACATTGTGTCCCATCATAAATGATGAGCTGTGAACTGGTTAAAAGTGGCTCTCTAACCCTTCCCAGACTGATGAGCTGCAACACCTCGTTTAAAATCCCTGCTCGTGGCTTTCATCTTTGGGACTGTGTTGAAAGCTCTAATGGGTTCAGACCAGCAAGCTGCCAAAACTGCTTTCATGAAGGGTCTCCTGTTAGGCATCATTAAACCCAGTGTGCCCTGATGTGGCACGCCATTTGGACGCTTGAAACCTAGAAGGATGCGCACATCACATTATGATGATTTTCCAACATATCCGTACAGGTCAGTGGCAAAGTCAGTGATTTACATTAAAATCCACTGGTTTAATTTCTCAAAAAGTTTTTGTTTTTGTCTTTAATCTGTCTCATATTTTGACAAATGGACAGACTTTATGGGCAGCACGGTGGCACAGCTGGTAGAGCTGCTGCCTCTCAGCGAGCAGGTTACCCTGGTTCAAATCCTGGGGGCCTTTCTGAGTGGAGTTTGCATGTTCGCTCCGTGCATGCGTGGGTTTTCTCCTGGTTCTCCTGTTTCCTCCCACAGACCAAAAACATGCATGTTAGGCTGATTGGTAACTCTAAATTGTCCCTAGGTGTGAGTGAGAGAGTGAATGGTTGTTTGTCTCGTTTGTCTCTATGTGTCCCTGTGATGGACTGGAGGCCTGTCCGGGGTGTACCCCGCCCCTCACACAGTGACTGCTGGACATGGGCACCGGCGACCCCCGCAATCCAAAAAGGAAGAAGCGAGTAAAGATAACGGATAGAAAGACTTTATACATTCCAGACAGCCCTCATGGCTTATAACCAAAAGCTTTACGTCTGAAAAAGTTAATCTGACGTGCTTGACAGCAGCAGCTTTCTGCTACTTAATCTTTAGCAGTTTTATTCACGCACTGCTTCTTGAAGATCAAGCATAATGTGCTTATCTGAGGTTGTTTTGACTTTATTTAAAAAGGTGACGTACAGTATGTCCTGATAGGTTCAAGTACTGAAAACGACAGCTTCATCTGATCATGCATGCTGTTTATCTATCAAAAGGAACATTTATACACTGTGTTACCATTCTTCTAAGTTCATTAATTTCCCTGATTATTCTTTATGTTCGGTTAGAAAGAGAAGCGGGGGGCGTCCATCCAAACGTTAAAAACATGATTAGGATTTGGACATTATTTTATGCAGATCTTCTGCTTTTCTTTTTAGAAATAAGCTTATGAATAGTTAATGATATGTTTAAAGTGGGGCAGCACGGTGGCGCAACTGGTAGAGCTGCTGCCTCTCAGCGAACAGGTCCCTGGTTCAAACCCAGGTCCAGGTGCCTTCTGGGTGGAGTTTGCATGTTCTCTCCGTGCATGCGTGGGTTTTCTCCGGGTACTCCGGTTTCCTCCCACAGACCAAAAACATGCATGTTAGGCTGATTGGTAACTCTAAATTGTCCCTAGGTGTGAGTGAGAGAGTGAATGGTTGTTTGTCTCGTTTGTCTCTATGTGTCCCTGTGATGGACTTGCGACCCGTCCAGGGTGTACCCCGCCCCTCGC